GTCAAGTTGAAATTTGAACCCAGGTCTGTGCAAATCCAGAGCCTGTGGCCACTCCACTCTCCTCCGATATGTCTCAAATAGTGGGATTTGTAATATGGAGCCACCTGATCTTTTGCCTTCATTAACGTGCTCTCAGCTTCGACAGTGCTCTTCCCTTCAAAGAAATCTTTTTCCTCTCAGTGTCTGGGGAATTCACCTTCACTAATTATCCCACAGCTTTGACTAATTAACCGACATCTTTCTTGGGCCTTGCATTTATAGTAGAATCCTCAGGTGTTAGCAGGATGCTTTGTATGAATGGGACCAACCTCATGTTTCTAGACATGGGAAGGCCAGACTAAGGAGCTGAAGAAACGTGCTCAAGGTGCTATAGTGAAGTAGAAACTAAGCTAAGGTCTGGTCCCTTCCATCTGGCGTTTGTATTAACTGATGGGGCTGGTTCTCTAACAGGGAGGGAAGTTGAGTGGTGTACGTCTTTGCCATCTCACTGACTTCAGGGGAAATGAAGAATGGTGCTGGCAGGATTCGGGCTGGGGACAGACACCCCAGAAACCAAGGACTGTGGGAAGCTCCAGAGGGAAGCTCCAGGTGCTGCTGACTCTATTGACGAGGTGCAGGAGGCAGCTGCCTTGACGCAGAGAGCCTATACTCATCAGGGTTGGCCGACTGCTGGCATAGACAACTCCAGATGCTCAGAGGCAAAACTAAAATTAACTGCTTCACATCTTGGTCCAGTGCTACCAGTGGGTTGATCTCTGCTTCCTGGGGTTGTTCAGGGAGTCAGTTTCCTTCCATCTTTGATCTATTCCCTCTCCAACATGCAGCCTGCAAAGTCAGTATCCAGGGTGGATAGGGAGCTGAGCTAAGTCAAGGTCAGTTAAGGGCAGTGGCTGGGATTTCTGCCAAACTGTCCTTCCTGCCTCTCAACCCATCAGAGTTTGCTTACTCCTGTCTGAAATGGGAGTTACACAACCTACTCTGCCCATTCTCAAAGCTCTAGAGCAGCGGTTGTCCAGCAGAACTGGTGGTCCCTGAGGTCCAAAAGGTTGGTGACCACTGCTCTTGAATATGTTTTGTAAATGGAAACACATCCTGCAGACATCTCACCTAAACCTGACCTTCCCCTTCAGGCCCTGAGTGTAGATGACAGATCTGAGAAAGGTTCTTCAGGAATGGAAGGACAGTTGCAGGGTGACAGCACAGGACATGGTCTCAAGGTGAAGGCACAGGGATCACCTCTCTCCAGACTAGGCTGGCAACTCAGGCTGTGGTTCCCTAGGACATCGAGACTCAGTGCCTCTCTCCCCAGCCCCGCCTGCCAACAAGCTCATATCAGTTGCTGACCTTGAACTTGGGCTGCAGCACCACTGGAGTCTGCTAGGGGAGTAGGTTGGCTAGACAATGGACTTTGTAATCCATTAACTCTGAATTTGAGTCTTGGTTCTGAGGCTTAGTGGGCTTGCTCTCCTCCATAAAATGGGAAGAATGACTTATGTGGTTGTTTTGACGACGACATGAGCTCATTATGAAAACTGCTTAGCAGATTGAAAACTAGCAGCACGCAGGAAAGCTGCGGTTCTTTTCATGCCCTATCCAATGTGCGAGAGATGACTGCGGGGCACTTGCATAAGGGTTGAGTCAGAGCTTCCCCTGTGGCTTCCCTCGTGGCCCCATTTCGATGAGCAGCCTTTTGCCTCAGTGTCCCCTTTCTGCCCATCCCAATCCTTTCCCTGAATCTTAGCCAGCTTAGTAGAGGCTCAGAGACTCCAGATAGCTTCGAGGCCAGGTCCCCAGCCATCCCTGCCTCCCGAGGCCTCGGCTGGCTTCCCAGGCTGAGCTCCACCTTCCAGAGCACCTTGACAGTGAAGTCTGAAATCTAACCTTTTTGTGACCGTATTGATCATGGGCCCGTATCGATTTCATGGACTTGATCTTATGTAACATCCGGATTCCCACTAGAACCGCAGTGAGCTTCCTCCACAGCTGATGAGGCCTAGAGCAGAGCCTGAGGCCAAGATGTGGAAGTGAGGGTGAGGGCCAGGAAGACAGGGAGGAAGTCGAAGCCAGCATGGACTGAGAGTCTGATTCCCCCTGGGCTCCTGTGGGAAGCATGGACAACGTGCTCTGGCATTGTCCTGCAGAAGGAGAGGAGCTGGGGACGATCGCCCAGAGCCCCCACTCCTCATTGGTTGAGGTCCCCAGGGGACCCCCCCCCCCCACCTCCCACTTTGAAAGACCCCCCCGAATAAGCTTTGAATGGGCTTCCCAGGCTCAGAAGAAAGCCGGAGGCAGAGAAGTGGAGAGACTTAGAGGCATGTGCTGGCAGGAGAACGTGTCCATGGACGTGGGGATGATGACGGCTGAAGCCGCTTAGAGAGCTCCTTCCCAATCTGGAGTGTGCCTGGAACACTCTCAAGGTCTAGGTTCAAGTGTCACCCTCTACTGGGGGCTTCCTGGTGTCTTATCTGAGGGAACCAACCTGGGGTTACTCCATCCCGTGCTCGTTTTCTCTCCATGACCCTCCTCTGGAAGCCTGGCCCGTGGAGCTTGAGACCTCCAAGTCCATGAGTGGGTCTGGGTTTTGGGATCTGTTTAAGTCAGACTTGCACCAGACTTGGACTGGGGTCCAAGAGGGTCTAATTCCAGGACACAGGTGCCAAGAAAGTGCTAGTGCTTTGGGTGATTGGCAGCTGTCGGGGTGGAAGATGTGTCGGGCTCAGCAGGCAAGGTAAGCGATTAGTCCAAGGTAACCAGCAGCAGGAAGTGGGGACCTCGGGAAGACAAGGTCCATTGTCGTTTCTGCAGACAGAAGCGGGCAGCAGGAGGCTGTCTCGGGAGCCAACCTGGCACTCCTCCTGGGCCTGTGCCAGCAGGTCAGGGCCCTTCTCTGGGCCTGGTTCCCATTCCCTCACTGTGGCCACAGCGATGGTGTCACCACAGGATGGGAGGAGAGGAGTGTGAGTTTAGGGCCTGCCTCAAGGAAGATACATTTTTATACGGCTGCAGCTCATTTGCAAACTGACCTCCAGGGGATTGTGGGCCCGGAAAGAGCATCCTTTGTGCGTCTTGGTCCAAAGGGGTGGGGGGGTTGGGGGGACGAGGCAGCCTGCAGTTTAGTGCTCTTGTGTGCAGAGCAGCAGGGCATGGTTTTTCGAGCTTCAGGGAGAACAGCCATGTCTCCACAAGGCCAGCTCAGCAGGACCACTTGCCTGGACAGTGAGTCACCATCCCGACTACGGTCAGGAGCTGGGGCTGGAGGCATCTCCTTCTCAAGGACCTCGCCACATCTTGCTGTGACGGGCACTAGGCGAGGGGGCGCTCGAGGGAGGTGTCTGCTGTGCAGTCAGAGGAATCACTTCACTGGTGTGCGACCCTTTGCCTCATACACCTTTCCTCTAGGAACCTGGTTGCAACAGTAAATAACCTCTTGGTTCCCGTCATTTCGATAGTTCCTGAGAATGGAGCATCAGTAGTGGCAGGGAAATCGGATTTATTCCTTATCCTTCTAATCAGTGACTGTGCGGTGGGCTGGCTCCCTGCTGGCGTTTGCAAGGTGCTAATTATAGTTACCGCTGTCTTCATGGTTCCCATGTGATAGGGCTCTAAATAAATCTTTTCATTAGAGTCCTAATGCACTAAAGAAAGTGCCTCCTCAAGAATGAGCATTGAAGCTACCCTACCTTCCTGTGCCTCAGTTTCCCTTCTGTGCAATGGCTATATGGTGTTACTCACGCCATAACATTTTCCTGAGGACTAAAAGAGTTTCTAACTCGGGCAGCACTTATCACAGGGCCCGGCATGTACCTAGAGCTGTGATGAGCACTTCATGTTGTGATTTTCAGCATCATCACTCATTTAAAGACAGGGAATCTGAGAGAGAGAAGTCAGGGATTGCTTTTGAAGTGGGAGAGTCCCAATTGGGAGTCTCTATGCAATTTCATGTTCTCATTGCTTTTGTATCTTACCTTTCTGCAGAAAGATTTACAGTGGCTTATGGATAAAACACAAATAAAATCACACCAGTGGGATGAAAGCATAGAGCAGTGGAAGGAACAGAGCCGTGACGACTGGAGAAGATGGGATGAGTTGTCTTTACTCTGCTTGCACTGGAGGTAGGAGGTAGGGAGAGAACGTACTATCCACTTCTGATCCCAACACCAGGTACACATTCATTTGCCGCAGAAAGCTCCTCGGGCGCAGGGTCAGGGACTGGACACAATAGAAGAGCACGTGGGGTTCCTTGAGCCATAGCTCACGCTGAGTACAGTTTACTGTGTCTGTGTGTCCCGCTCTACCAATGAAGAGCTGTTAAAGGTGTGACTTCTGTGACTTCTATGACTCCACTAGAAGATCTGGCACTGTTTTTTAAAGATATATATTTTTTAAATTTTTAGAGAAAGAAGAGGGAGAGAGAGAAACATTGATGTGAGTAAAATGTCAATCAGCTGCTTCCTGCACGCCAACAACCTGGGCTTGTGCCCTGACTAGGAATCGAACCGGGGATCTTTTGGTGCATGGGACAACACCCAACCAACTGAGCCACACCAGCAGGGGCAAGATCTAGGCCTTTGCTTTTTGGAGCTGAAATGGCAAAGCAGAAATCAGGGTGTGAACCACCAATGGCAGATGGGAGTATTGGCTGCCTCTCCCAGTGATACACTCAAATCTTAGATTTTCTCTCCTCTCTCTGCCCCACACCCTGCCATGGAGCAGCTACCTGCACTGAAGCTCATGAATTCACCTGTCTGAGCTTCTTCCTAAATTACCTGAGAGCATTCACCTTAGCTCCACCTTTGGCTCCTCCGGGCAAGTGTTTACTGATCTCTGCTTTGTGTGAAGTATGTTTCTAGGGATTAGGGGGGCCAGCACTCACTGAGCACCCCCTACCTGCCAGACACCTTGTGCGACACTTCAAACACAGTATCAAATTGACTGCACTCCTGCGGGGTAGCTGCTATTCTTGCTGATTTATAGACAAAATGACCTGAGGCTCAGGGAAGTTATGTGACTTAGACCATGGAGGGATTGATTCCACCGCTGATATGCACACTGCCGTCTCCCCTGCCTGGTGCTGTGGCTTCGGGGTCTGCTAAGGACTGTTTCTGCCCCCAGCACCTTGCAGTCTGTTCGGAAACCCAGTTTCCTAGCTCCATGTATGGTAGTCTTGTTATAATCAACCTCAGACTTTAGTATTAAAGCATGTATTACAGCTCGGCCAGTGTGGCTCAGTTGGTTGAGCATCACCCATGAACCAAGAGGTCTCTGGTTCAGTTCCTGGTCAGGGCACATGCCCAAGTTGCAGGCTTGATCCCAGTAGGGGGCATGCAGGAGGCAGCCAGCCGATCAATGTTTCTCATTATTGATGTTTCTATCTCCCTTTCCCTCTCCCTCTCCCTTCCTCTCTCTCTAAAATAAAATTTAAAATATATTTTAAAACCCCCAATACATTATCATACAATAACTGTACATGAAGCCATTTTAGTTTCATTCAAATTGGCATTTAGATGAAGTAGGAGAAAGAATTAAGTGGTGACTAAGACTGGAGCTGAATGATAACAGCGTCTCTTTTTACACGTAAGCTAGAGGTTCTTGCCACCTCCTAAGGTAGGGGTGTCGAACTCAATCAGAGAAGGGGCCAAAATCTAAAATCCAGCCTAAATCGCGGGCCAAATGGTTTACTGAACAGTCATAAACTGTCATTGTGATGGAAACGCAGCGAAGTGCAGTGATGACAGCGCAGTGCGGGCCACATTGCAAGGCCTGGCAGGACGGATTTGGCCCGCGGGCCTTGTGTTTGACACATGTGTCCTAAGGGAAGGTTGGAAAGTGAAATATGGTTCCCCTAGCCTGGGAGTTGGCAAGATTCTCTGGCAGCAACTCACGGTGGGGGCTGCAAATCTGTCTTTCTGTAAGGAGCTTGCTTCGGAGAAACGAATGAAACCTACAGTTTTGAGGGGGTCTGCCAACGTGCCAGGTCCCTAGAGGAAGGGCTCTGACTGTGCGCAGCAACATGCACCACTTTTATTTCACCTCCTGTCTTAAGGGGTCATGTTCTTAAGGGTAAACATCTGTGTTTCGTGATGTCGCAACTCTTCCAGGGTTTCCTTTCCTTTCTGCATTTGGGTCTCAGGCTGGGCCTCAGGCTGGAGCAGACACAGTTTGGACAGCTCATACTAACAGAGCGGAGGTGCAGAGTAAGCCCATTTTAGGGCTGGTGGGACATGCCGACACTTTAAGTCGCCAAGCCCTCAGGCCCTCTGGTGCCGGGTGCTCAGCCTGCTCGCCCTCTGGGCAGCTTTGGCCATGAGAAGTTCTTGTCTAATTTGAGAGCAGTGTGTCCCCAGGGACATTTCGGCACTGAATCCAAGTTCTTCTCTCTGTCCCCCAACAGACGCCTCCTCTCTCCCTTCAGAGACTTTGAGACCGAGATCGTGTCCCTGGGTGTTATCCCAGGTTTCTCTCTCCAGGGGGTCAGTGTTTCTAGTCTTCTCACCATCCCAATTGTCAAAATATGTGCCATTCTAAGGGTGACAAGTTTATTAACTAGACATCTACTGGTTGAATACAACTCTTTTTTCCCCTTTAAACTGGGATTGGTTGTGACCTGGGAATCTTCCCAATAACTTGCAGGCAGTTACTATACGTTAATTGCTTAATAAAGGGCTCCTCATTGTGCAGCGACTATGTTCGAGCACTTTGGGGAGATATGAATGGAACCTACCGTTCCGAGGAGGTTTGGGATTCTGCCAATGTACCGGGTCTCCGGAGGTCGTGGGCACGCCCTGGAGACACATGTGGAGTCTGTAGCCTGTCCTGGAGCTAACCTGTGTGGCCCTGAGTTAAAAGCCCTTTGCTAGCTTGGAGCTGGGCTTTTGGGCGGAGATAGAAGCCTTTTCACACCTGACTCTGAGGCTCACCTTAAGGGTGTCCAGGTGGCTGGTCCTCAGGCTCCCCTGAGCTGAGTCCCTGTGTGTCTCTCCCTAGTCCCTTTCACATCCCTGGGCCTGCTGCTAACTGCTCTGAGGGCCTCAAGTGCAGGGACATGTAGGCAGAGAGAAGCCGAATGCCTGAGGGGATGATCCAGCCTCATTTTATATTGAGAAGCAGAGGTGCCCAATATATGGAAAAGCTCTCGGGCCCTAAGTAAATCCAGTGTGGCGATGCTCCTACTATCCCTGGAAAATGCCCTCTAATCCTCTCTGCCCTGTCACTTGAGTAATCTTTTAATAGTTAGTGTGTGTAAATAGAAGGCTGGGGAGGTCAGCTGATCTTGCTCACTTTCCATCAGTCTTGAGAAATGATGGCTCTGGGTGTGGTGGGGTGGCAGGGCCTGTCCAAACCCGGGGGCTGCTCTCCAAGTCGCCACGTGTGAGGAAAGTCCCCGAAGAAGGGATTTGGGTTGGACACATACCATGTTCTGTCTTTCAAATGACTGATGCTTATGGTGCTTTTCCCTCCAAACTTTTGCTGGATTTCTCCCTCCTTGGCTGGAGGACAGTCTTGGCCATGGCCAGCCCCTAGGAGAGGCTGCTGCCTGAGGCTCTCCATACAGCACTTCCTTTACTATTTCTCTAAATCACACTGTTAGGTTCTGACCTCTTGAGATCACGATGTGGGTGAGTTGTACCTGAATTTGAATCCACACTGATTGTCCGGCAGCTTTGGGAAAATCGTGTCCTCTTTGAGCTAATTTCTGCTTAAAACAATGATCTGGGACAGATTTGACACTCGAAGCATTCAATAGAAAACAGAGTGAGGCTAACCAGGTCTCCTTGCCTCTCCTCTCACGGCTGGCTGCTTGGCTGGGTAGCATACCATGACTGAGAAATGACAGCACAGGCTCTCCTCTGGGGTCTGGAGATATGGCGGAGAGGACACTCATATAGCTCCTGCTGTTCAGTTTCATTGGTTTCTAGAAAACATGCACCTACATAAGTAAACTAATGACAAATCTGGTGGAAATATGTGCTGTGGAAAACAACAGGAGTACTGGACCCAAGCTTGTGTGTGCACATGTATGTGTTTTTGCATGTGTGTGTGTGCATATGTGCTTATGTGGGTGTTGAGGGAAAGTCTCGTGTAGAAGGTAATATTGGGAGGATGCCTGAAGGAAGTGAGAGTGAGTGACGTGTGTGTTGGGGAAAGAGCGTTCCAGGCAAAGTCTGAAGGGGGAGCGTGCTTGTGGATTTGAAGGACAGCAGGAAGGCTGGTGTGCCGAGAGCATCCTGGGAGAGGAGTTGAGGTCATGGAAATTTGAGGAGAGGAATCACGCAGGTCCTCGAAAGCCACTGTAACTCACTGGACTTGGGCTAAGCCAGGAGGCAGTCTTTGGGGATTTTGAGCAGTGGGATGAGATGACTCAGCATTTCATAAGATCACCCTACAACTTCCTGGGGGCAGAGATGGGCTTAGGAGGCAAGCGTTGGGGGCACTGACTTTGTTTTCAATGCTGCCCAAGCTTCTCAGGATTATCTGGAGAGATCACCACCTAACCCAGGTGTTAGGGGTGAAGACAAAGTAAACATCCAGGGCAACAGGAACTGGCCCCATTGCTCAGCGTTCGAAAGTTGAGCTGTAGGAAATGAGGGGCCTGGGACAAACCAAAGGAACAAGCGTGGGACAGTAGGAAAGGGAGAGCTTGGCCTTCACAACCAGCAGTGAGGGAGGAGAAAGCAAACATAAGTTAGTGGTGGGACGTTAATAAAAAGGAGCCCTTAAACATCCCTGAGAAGGTTGGTCAGTAGTCTTTGCCAGGAGGTCCTTGCATAATCTGAGTGGGATTGGACATGTGGTCAGAAACCCTGTCCCTGCCCCCCACATTCCTGTCCTTCACCCCAATGCAGATTTGCAGGTGGTGACAAACCAAGGGTGTGGGGTTGTCTACAGGAGGCTTTGTGCAGCACCTGCCATGCCCTGGGCAGAACCTGAGCCCCTTATGGAGGGAGGGATTAGAGTGGAGGTGAAGTGTTTTTCCAAAGGGAGCCCAATTGGCAGCATGTCCACATCACCAGGTTCACAAGGAGCTCCTACCCCCGTAAAGCTGGGAGAGACTGCCATCTACTGGAAGACTAAAGTATGCATCCAGACACAACTTCAGAGACAAACTTGTATTGGCATTTCCTCCAGGCCAGGCACTGTCCAGTTTTTCTTTTAAATCAACACAAATTCTCTTCAGGGTAGGAGGTCCTCTTCATTCTCAGTTTTAGGGTACTCTGGAAAATTAAGCGAGTAGACCAAGATTGTTTGGTCATTGGAAAACCTGGGGTTCAGCTCAGCTCCAACTGCAAGGGTTACTTTGCAGAAGTTGCTGTGATCACACATGCTTTGCAAACTGTAAAGCATAATGTGGGAACTGGCAAGTGGCAGGTGTTCTGGGTGTACTGAGTGAGATGGCGCGCCTCAAGGCTCTGTGGCTGAGGAGCTCAGAAGTCCTGGGCTTTAGTCCCAGCTCTGGCACCTCAAGGCCTGTGAACTTCACCACTCCAAACACATTTAACCTATAACTGCAAATATACTGGACTAACGCAGCAGCTGCTTATTTGCACTGTGTGTGTGTGCATGTTTCCTATAATACACTGAGATCTACTTTCCAGTCTTGGGGTTGATCAAGGAGAGACCTGATTTCTGCTTCCTTTCTGAGCTTTCATTTCATTTTGGGGGCTCACTGGGAAAGGAAGAGGAGGAAGGAAGGAGACCCTCTGCTGGCCACTGATATAGCACACCTCATATCCTGGCTGGGTGCATGTGGAGGCTCCTAGCACCCACTGGGCCAGGGGACACAGGTGGGGGGAGTTGCCCTTCTGAAGAGCAACGCTAATTAAGTCAGTCCTGCCTTAAATACCTTCCACAATTCTCAACTGTGCTCAGGGAACACAAGCCTGCAAGGCCAGGCCTTGTACTACCTTCAGCCTTTGCAGTGTTAACATAAGAAACATTCAAACCTGTAAAGAATTTTTGTAAGTTTATTTGAGCCAAACTGTTGACAATTGCCAGGAAGCAGAATGTCAACATTCTCTGGAGAATGGCATTACTTATATTTAATTTAAATTACAATCAAAGGAGGAGACATGAGTGGATTACATGAAATCCATTGGTGATAGATTAGGGCAGTGGTCGGCAAACTCCTTAGTCAACAGAGCCAAATATCAATTGTACAACAATTGAAATTTCTTTTGAGAACCAAAAGCCGACTTCTGTGCATGGGCCACGGAGTTTCAAGCAAACTGTACATGCATACCTGCATGTGGTATTTTGTGGAAGAGCCACACTCAAGGGGCCAAGGAGCTGCATGTGGCTTGTGAGCCTCAGTTTGCCAACCACTGCTCTAGGTGTATGAGTTTGCAAGGCCTCCACACAGGCCTTCCCTGAGCTCGTCAGGTGAGCAGGTGGCCCCTTTTGCTTCCAAGCAGCGAGCTACAGCCTGGCCTTGGAAAGATAACCTGTTGGAATTGAGGGCAACTCAGGATATGGAGAAGCTCTCTGGAACCCAAGTCCTATGGGTGTTACCTTCTAAATCTCCTGGAATCATGAGCACCGGCTTAGCTCCATCTACCATTTTTGGGAGGGGATGGGTGGGACTGTCACTCAGACCTCTGGGCAGGAGCCAGTAGAGGGTTAAGGCTGCACTAAGGCTTGGTGGTCGCAGGCACCCATTTGTTTGGTGTATGAAGCAAAGGTGGTGTTGCTATGGCTGAATTGCAGGCAACAAGTCTGTGATCTGGAGCAGAAAATTGTGTCTATGACATGACCATGCTTGTTAAAGCGTGATAAACTGTGCAGCAAAGTGCCTGACCAGATTTCAATGCTCTGACCCTCTCTCTGAGCCATCACGGTCCATTTGAATGAGGCCTATCAGCCCCAACATTGCCATTAAATAAGTCAATTTGCTGAAAGCGCCTCAGGGAATGAACTGGGGATTGCTTTTCCCATCCTGGTTCTAGAAGAGAAATGTGTCAAGTGTGGTTCTGACCCTTAGTCACTGGTAGTGAACAGATCTGCCTGCTGTGCTGGGCAGTGAGCTCTCCTATCACCAGATGTAATCAGGCTGAGGCTGGGAAATGGGGGACTTTGAATAGGGGAGAAGGAGATATCCCTAATAGGCATTCTTCGCAGTTCTAAGATTCGGGATTGTGGACTCTGATGAAGGATCCCGTGGACCTTTCTCATTCTGCAACCTGTCTGCTGTCCTCATGGCACACCTTTCCCCAGGGAAGGAGGGAGATTCATCAGGGGTCGGGGTGGGGTAAGTAACTGGTGAGTAGCCATACAGAAGGCATTGCGCTTGTAGGAACCCCAACCCATCATATGTAAAGTAATAGCAGGATAATTACTGTTTATTAGCATTTAATGTGTGAGCACCTCCCTCAGGCAGTTCTGCCTCATCTATGTCATAACATTGTTAGTTGATCATGTAGGAAAAAGGGTGTAAAAAACAGCCTTTAAACCATAAACAACTAGTCTTGGAAATATTGAGCAATAAGCTGAATCTAATGTGTAAGCTTTTCCGACCTTGTTCATCTTTGTCCAGAAAATTGTTTCCCCCCTTCTGGCCCTTGTTTCCCATGTGACCAGCACCCTCCTCCTCTTCCTGTTCCAGGACCCCCTGGTGTTCAAATATGTTGGTTTTGGTGGGATTCAAGTTCAACAATGGAAGGTGAAACAACAGTCCAATTTAAAAGTACTTGTGCTTTTATTAAAAAAAAATACAATCAGGTACTGTCCACATGTGTTTCGGGAAGGAAAGTCTCTTTAAAAATCCTTAGTTTTCATCATCATCCTTATTATTATATTAATAATATTAATTATATCCTTAACATTGAAACAGGGTTGCTTTTCTGGGTTCTGTTGTATGAAATGTAAAAAATGGGGATGGCTCCCAATGACACACATTGAATCACAGGGAACAAAAATAACAATAATTAATTATGCAGCTTTGTGTAAAAGACAGCCGGTTCTAAAACTACCACTGTACAGCCGGACACCCCTACCCCATTCCCATAGCCGCTGCGAGAAGGAAAACCACTGGGCTGCTGTGCTGGAAGGCTTTTGCGGATTCGAACAACACAACAGAAGCCTGTTGGAGAAGTTGTCTTTGGTGCGAAGGAAGGGATCGAAGAGGGGGGACGCTGTGCTCCTGCCGTTGGCCCCGAGGCGCCATGGTCCACGTGAACTCCTGCCAAATGCCCAGGTGTGGCTTGACGGTTGGATGGGTTGCACTGGTGCTTTGGTAAAATTCTTTTCTTCCTCTGGGCCCTACACCTCTCAGCCAGTTGTCCCTGCAATTCACGCCCGCTTGCGCCTGCCTTCGAGGTTTCGGAAGTTGCTGGGTCTCACCTTCATCTCAGCAAACTGGATGGAATGTTCGTGGCCCTTCCAGTGGAACCAGTTAACACCCTGTAGAACAAGAGAAGAGCTCCCAGTTGGTTCCCAATCGGCACTGACAATTGCTCTCTGGAGGACGGGGTGAGTTCTGTTCCAGCGTGACTGCCGGGCAGTTCACTACTGTCTCTGTATGCTGACCTGTGTGGTGAAAAGTGCCAGAGGGGCTGGCAGAGTCCGACTCAACTGTGTTACTCTAGTCACAAGCCACCTGAGATTGGCTCTGCCACCTGAGACTAAGTGGTGGCCGATGGCACTTGCCATCATGAGGAAAAGTGGGAAAAGAATTCAGGTCAGCACTGGAGGTAACAGAATTGAGTAGCTCCGTGAGGGGGCATCTATAATCCATGGGATTCCTACCAAGGATCTGACTGGGGGTCGAATGGGATGGCAGAATGTGAAGGAGCTAGCACAGTGCTGGAGTGGAGCCAGAGCTAGGGCCCACCCCGCTCTCCTTTACAGCCTTTTACATTCTCTTCTCCTTCCACATTGGGTGAAGGATGGAAAAAAGATGTTTCCCTTGGCACATAGCTGTCTTTATTTTTCGGGAAGACTTTGTATTGCACTGATGTTAGAGGCCAAGGCGGTGAAGATAATAGCGTTCAGAGTGGAAGTGTAACTGAGGTGACATAAGATGACGCAGGAATACCTGTGCTCACCCCGCTTCACCTCATGGCCTTTCCTTTGTCTGCTCTCCTTTTGGGGTTCAGACAAAGATTTTGCCCGAGGAAAGCTCTATTTTGGAATCCACTTGATCAGTAGTTCCCTGTATGAGCTATTTCTATGACTTCACCTGACCTGCCTGTCACTGAGGTTCCCCTTGCTGTGCTAGGGAAAACATGTTATCTCCTGAGATTGCTGCCCCTAGTCTCACCCCCAACTGGCTTCCCGAGCTTGGCGCCCTGTCGGTCTGCTCACCTGACTGTGGTTATTGTCTCCATATCTGCCCATCAGGTTGACACGGTGACAGTTCTTGTACCAGAAGGCCCCCTTGTAGGACAGGGCACAGTTGGTGATGGCTGAGTCCGTGTCCTTGTCGAAGGTGGAGAAGGACCTGCCATTGTGGTAGGCCATCGAGTCACCTGGGAGAGCGAGAGAGAATGCACTGAGATCCCAGCTGGAGTCTCCTCTGGGATCTGAAGGACACAACCTGAGGTGACAAGGAAACGGTCCTGGGTGGGCCGGCCTTGAACACTGGACCAGATTTAGGATTACACATGGGCCTGGATGGGATATGAGTGTCACCCACCGATGAATTTCTTATAGAAGCAGCATCATGTGGTGGAAAGATGGCTGTGGGTGACTTTGGATGGTCCAGTTTCAAGTCCCATCTCTTTCACTCCCTAGCTATGACCTTGCACAGGTCAAGCTGCTTGTTGCACCTCAGTTTCTAAGTTATAAAATGGGACTAGTACATTGATTCTACCCACCTGAGGGGACCATTTATGAGGTGTATGCTAAAAAGATAGAGTTGAGCAAATAGTTATGATTGATGCTATTTATATGATGTTTTGCATTCCTTGTCCATAAAGGCGCTCACTGAGTAATGTGATAAATCTGCACTTAAGAATGCTTTGTCCCAAATATAAATCTTTAGAACCATACTTAGAATCAAACCCTTCAGCTATCAGATGTAACCCAATAGCCTGTGCCCCACAGAGTTACTTTTCTAAGTGTTTATGGGACCAGCGTTCCGACTCTTAGATAAGAAGCCCACTCATAGAGTGCTTTTTGGGAATCTGGTTTGTAATTAACACATTGAGTTTTGGGAAGATTTCAGTGCCGTTCTTTCTGTGCACCTTCACTCCCCACCTGGCCAGCACGTGCATGAAAGCATCAGGATGCCCTAGCACCTACCTGACCTTTAGGAGCAGGTTGTCAGAGGCAGCAGGTGCTTGTCTAAGCTGCTGAGAGTATGAGCATGGCAGGTGGACACTGATGAATGAGGTGTCTCCTGTCAGGGATGCATCCCAGCTCATCTCTGCTGGAATTACAGAGGGTGGAGGCTCACCCACTCCCGCTGACAGCCAGTGTCTTTGTTTGCCAAGTAACTGGATCCCTCTTGCCTGAAGCCCTCTCCACCAAAAGGTATTTATGGCCAGCTAATAAAATGTCAGGCTTCTTTGGGAGGGGTGCCTCTCTCTTCTGTAAAGAACTTTGTCTCCCCTTGGACTGAGCCTAGCTTTTGGCAAACCTTTATCTGGAGTCATTTTTTAAAAAAATCATAGATGTTTTCTTTCCGGGATCAGAGAGGCTGTAAATATGCCATAGCACCTCTTCTGTTCCATGAATATCACCGAGAGCCACCCAAAGTGGGCAGGATGGCACAGGCTGGGCACACTGGCAGACCTGCTCCCTCTTGTTCCCAAGAGCACCTTCGGCAGCCCAGCTTGTACCTGGGCCCACCCTCTACAAGCTGTGTCACTTGGGCAAATTGTCGAACTTCCTCCTCTGCCTTCCTGGCATGGCTTCTGTGAGAGCTGAGTGGGGGTAATGTGTGGGAATATCTGCACCAGAGGATGCTACCCAGGAGCCCTGAATGCATGCTGTGCCCTTGTTTATTTCTTCTCTAACGTGGCGCCAGACACCACACAGAGGCCATGTCAAGTCAAGAGATCTGTGCTAGGTTGGGGACCAAAGAACTAAAATATTGCTGCAGTGGTCTTCTGCCTTAGGTGTTCAGGCTGATGCTGGTTGGCCATGTGGCAGAGATGTCTTTGAAGAGACTCGAGCAATTGGTGATGCACTGAATTATTTGCTACTCAGAGCGCACCACCACCCACAGCAGCATTCAGAGTTTGTAAGAAACACTGAATCTCAGTGGCATCCCTCCAGGGCACATCCTATATAATAGATGGCTAATATGCAAATCAAACCGCAGAACGACTGGTCGCTGTGATGTGCACTGATGACCAGGGGGCAGACGCTCAACACAAGAGCTGCCCCCTGGTGGTCAGTGCATTCCACACGGGAAGCCCCACTCAGCCAGAAGCTGGGCTCACTGCTGGCGAGCATAGAGGTGGTGGCAGAAGCCTCTCCAGCCTCCGCAGCAGTTGGACATCCTGAGGGTTCCCAAACTGCGAGAGGGCACAGGCTGGGCTGAGGCCCTCCTCCTGCACAAATTTTGTGCACTGGGCCTCAAGTATGTACATTAGGTTGAGAAGCACTGGATTATGCAAGTATGAAGGCTCCTGAGAGACTTTTTCTGTCAGTCTATGCTGAAATCTAAACATGTCTAAGTGATGGCAGCTCCAGATCAGCCCTGAGTGTCCTGCTTCCCAACCTTCTCTATTTCGGTGACCAAAATACCTGCCCAGCTTGGTCCAATAGCAGTTCTTCCTGATCAGCACCCAGTAGGGATACAAATACTCAATAAATGGATGACCCAATAAATTAATTGATTAATGAAGAAAGGGAAGGGATGATTCAGGGAGGAATCAAGTGAGAGCACAGGAATGCCCTGTGGTTCTGTGGGCTCCGAGTGGCTGTCCGTACCTGCTGTCCCGCTGTATCCTTCCACCTTCAGCTTGTAGCGAGTCTTGGCATCTCCCACGCTGAACTTGTCGTAGACGGCGTAGGCTGTCTTCCCATGGTCCCGCAGGTCCACCCGCAGCTCGTACTGCCCCTGGGATGTGATTTTGTTCAGGTTGTCCAGGCCTGTGGACAACAGGCAAGGATTAATGCAGAAGCACCAGCGACAGAGGCCATTGTTTCTATTCCATTCACATTAGGGCAGAGACTGATGTGTGTTAAGGAGGGTCGAGTCTCAGACCCCGGCTTGCAGCTTGGTCTGCTCTTTGCTGGGGCGGCACCAGGCAAAACAGTTGATGTTTCTAAGCCTCAGGCAAACTTGGGTTGAGAGCTTTGCCCTGCCAGCCCCTATGGTTTTGTGAAGGTCAGAGGAGATGAGGTGGAGAAAGCCCTGGTAAACTCTAAAGCTCTGTACAAGTGAAAGGCAATGGATGATTGCTGGATAGACATTCCTTGCCAGACAATCCATTTGCAGGTGTTATCGGAAGGTGTGAGCTGTGTGGATGGATGGAGGAGGGCATCATAGACTGCCTCAGGA